TAACTTGAGAATCTTTTTCAGTTCTAAGATCTACTGGTGGAGAAGAGGGACATGGACCGTGAGGCAAGGTGTGAAAATGGGTACATGGCAACATTAATACAAGATGTGATATATATATATTGATGTTCATGGTGATATCAGCTGGACAGTGTAGTGGTAAGACTCTACGCCTTTGGAGTGGGAGTCACAAGTTCAAGTCGTACTTGAGCCTCTGCATCCAGTGCTTATCTCATAGTTAGTGTGTAGTGTAGTCAATACTTTTGTTGTGTGTGTCAGAACAATGATGCATAACAGCTGATTGTGCTGTAAATTGTTTGAAACATCTTTCAAAAGAAAATAGTTACAAGAAAAATAGCTGAATTTCTTTTTTGAAGAAGTATTTATTCTTCTTTTTTTTATACAAGATGTGATATATATATGTTGATGTTCATGTCGATATCAGCTGGATAGTGTGGTGGTAAGACTCTACGCCTTTGGAGTGGGAGACACAAGTTCAAGTCCGGCTTGAGCCTCTACATCCAGACAGGGGGGATATCGTCCTCCCCGAGGTCAGCGATGTCAGGAAGAAGCAACTTTAGCTTAGAATGTGAGGTTTAGTTGAAAGAGATCAAGTACTGAGATCCTGTGTAGGATGTTTAACTACTTGACTAACAGTGATAACAGTTAACATCTTGCTATATATGTATTTAAATAAATTTAAGAACTAGTTTAACTAAACTTTTAGATTTTTTTCACTTACTTTGTATCCAAGTTAACATTAACATCGTACCCTGCTGTTGCTTTTGAGTAATGTCTCCTAACACGTAGCCTTTGAATGATGCCACCAGTTCAGTTCGGTACTCTTGAACTCTCATTGCGCTCTCAGTACTTGATCTCTCTCAACAAACCTCACATTCTAAGCTAAATGTTGCTTCTTCCTGACGTTGCCGACCTCGGGGAGGACGATATCCCCCCTGTCTTGGCGTCCTGACTCCTCCTTGCCGTAGCATGTGTGTTGTACCTCATCACCATGAGAGATAAGCACTGGATGCAGAGACTCAAGCAGGACTTGAACTTGTGACTCCCACTCCAAAGGCGTAGAGTCTTACCACTACACTATCCAGCTGATATC